CCTCCTCCTCCTCCTCCTCCTCCTCCTCCTCCTCCTCCTCCTCCTCCCCCTCCTCCCCATGCCCCCGAGCTGCCCTGGAGGGGCACAGAGCCGCGTGAGCACAGGCGTGCGGAGGTCTGGGCGGTGTTCCCGGGTCGGCGCTGGGCCCCCGTACCCACCCCCCTGCCCCGGCACGCCGGGAGCAGCGCTGGAGGCACCGCCAGTGGCCTGGCATCGCTCAGGCCTGGACGTTTTTTCTCGGCGAGGAGCGTCGTGGAGCATCCTGCGGGGAAAAGAGCGCACGAAGCCCAAAAAGGCACGGGGCATGGACGTCCGCGCGATGGTGCGGTGGTGCTGGAGCGGGGGGCCCAGCGCCGACCCACGAAGTCCGAGCCTCCTCGAGGCCTCCGGGGGCCCGTAAAACGACGCGAAGATCGGGACCAAATGGAATCGGGATAACTCGAAATCTCGGAGAATCGGCGGGTTTGGAGGATGTATCGGGCGCCGCGGCCGCTCCAGAGCGTCCCGGAACGCTCTGAGAGCGCTCCGGAACGCTCTGGAGCGATTTATCCCGATCCTAGCCCTGTTTTAACCCGAGGACCCAGACCTCTGGCGGCTCCGCGCACGCCTCAGCGCAGATTCTGCAATTCGCTGCCCGCGCCCCGAAGGTCGGCAGCACTGTACTGCTCCAGCGCGTCGGCGTGGAACATACGACCGTGCATGTCACGCTTCAGGAGGGAGAAAAACACACAGACACAATCAATTGTCGGTTCCCCAGAAAAAAAGTGGAAAATGTGGGAAGTGGGGGAGACAACACCCAGAAAATATGGGAGCATATGGGGAATTATGTTGTTTGTGTCTGTTTATTTGTGTGTCCCAGGGCCCCTTCAACGTTGAGCTGTCGCCCTCCGTCCCGACATCATTCGCGATGGACCCTTCTTTCCCCACGGGGACGTGCTCCAGCGCGACGGGGGCGGCGCCCGTTCGCTCGCTGGAACAGCGCGCTCCCTCGGGAAGCTCGCGTGGCTTTCCCCCCTGAGGTGCTGTGGCCTTCCTCGTCTTCCTCGCCGCCCTCTTCCTCCTCCTCCTCCTCCTCCCCCTCCTCTTCCCCCTCCTCCTCCTTTCCCTTCTCCTCCTCATCATCCTCTCTGTCTACTGCTGCTACTCATCCTCATGCTCCCCGTGCCCCTCTGTCACAGCCTCCTCCTGGGTCGTGCTGGGCGGCAGGCGAGCGACGAGAACGCCGCGCCCGCGCCGCCGAAGACGAACCGCGCCAAGGACCCGCGCCGGCACCCGGGCGTGCGGTCGAGACCGATCGTGCCGTACAGTGGGGCCCGAGCACGGGAGGGCGCGTGTCTCGGAGGCTGCCGCGGGTGGCCGCATGCCCCCCGCATAAAAAACGACGGAAACTGCAGTCGGGGCCCTGAAGAAGGAACCCTTTTCGTTGGGGAGGGGCTCTGTGTTCCTTGATTTCTTCACAGTTTGCCTTGGGTTTTCCTTTGGTTTTCGATGGGAAATCGGAATTTAACTTGTGGGAAAAAGGGGCCCCGTTCCTTATTTATCGTTCCTTAGGACAACGCCCCGACTGTATTCACCATGGTTTGCTCCAGGAGGCTCCACAGCGGTTCGGGATGCGAAGCTAGACCCGCCGGGGAGGAGCTTTGAGTAGCAGCAAAACTGCAAAACACCGGAGCTTTCTGAGATGCGGTCGACGTTCTTGTGTCAGCGCCTCCTGGCTGGCGTTGCCTCGTTGGCGCTCCGCCCGCCAGAGAAGGGGACGCAGGGACGGTGTTCTGGCGCCAGCTCATGAAGTCCTCGCGGGCCTCCGAAAGTTTATGTATATCCAGTTGTTGATTCTTCCACAGGGGTCACCTCTGTAGAAGAATACATCAGTGGACCACCTCTGAGGGGTGGTCCTGGCCTGGGGGGCCCCCAGTCTTTCGCGCCCTCGGGGGTGGCAAAGAGGGGGTGATGACCAGGGGGCGTGGATCTCATGGCGGGGGCCATGAGAACTGCCCAGATTTCATGGCCCCCCGCTTGGATGCCCCCGATTTGGAACCCCTGGGGTCCCCTGGGCCTCATGAGGGGTGCTCCAGAGACGGTCGCCCACCACTTCGTCGCCGAGGTTGTAGCGACGCAAGCCTGAGTTCAGGGCAGTCATGACTACTGGTGCAAATCTGTGGGGAACCTGGAGGAAGCTTTCGGTAAACTTCCAGAATTTCGCTTCTCCTGGGCGCGAAGACTGGGCCTCCCTGGGAGTGCTGGGGGCACCTTGGGCGAAGGCCACTTCTGGCAACACCCGAGGGGCTCTGAGCTCTCGGTCGAGGAGGAAGGGAGGGAGGGAGGAGAGAGGGCGGGAGGGAGAGTCGGGTCGGGCGAAAGGGGGGGATTGGGAAAGGGGGGGTTACGAAATCTGCTGCATGCAGCTGGTTTCGGCCCCGCCGCCGGGCCCATTCCTCGATACATGGGAGCCTCCCGGCGCCGGGAGGCGCCGGTAAAATCAGCTACGTGAGCTGATTCTCAACCCCCCCTTTGCTATCCCCCCCTTTTTACCCGGCCCGAGAGAGGGGGGGAGGAGGCGGAGAAGGAGGGAGGAGGCGGAGGGAGGGAGAGGAAGCGGAACGAAACCTGGTCGCGGGTCCAAGGCGAGAGGGCATACCCACTGGCCATCTCCGTGAAAGCCCACAGTTGAGGGTAACAAGCCAGCCACCGTTTCTGGGTTGTGGGTCAGAGTCCTCAGGGATGTTTCTTGGGGTCTCTTCGGAGCGCGCTCGGGAGCCTCTTGGAGGCAGTTTGAGGGCCGCTTGGGAGCCTCTTGCAGGCCTCTTGGGGCTTCCTGGGGGCTGGGGGTCTCTTGGGGCCTCTTGGCTGCGTCTCATCATTTAATCGCTTCGCTCATCCCGCCGGCCCTGGAGCCCTCTTTAGGGCCTCTTGGGGGCCTCTTGGGGACCTCTTGGGAGTCTCTTGGGGCCCCAGGGCCTCTTGGGGGCCTCTTGGGGCGGGAGGGGGGGTAGTCGATTGCGGCTCCCCCCTCGGAGGCCACGATCCTCGTGAGGGGTGTCGAAAAATGGCCCTCCCTTGGAGCGCTCTGGGGACCTCACCGGGACCTGACCAGGGCCTAGCCAGGGTACTTTTCGTCTGGGGGCCCCCAGGGGCCGCTCCGCGCGCGCGAACTAGAAATATTGCTAACCAGTTACTGGAGATCGTAGCACGCCTCTGGCCCGTTGGGCCGGCGAATTGGAGGCCTCTTGCGGCCTCTCGGGGCCGAGGGCTCGACATGCCCCGTCGGGGCCCCCCTCTTGGAACGTCTTGGGGACCTCGTGGGCCGTCTTGGCGCCTCTTGGGCCGTCTTGGGGCCCTCTTGGAGGAGGCCTCTCGGGCCGTCCCGGGGCCTGCCGTGCTCCTCGGCCGATCGGCGACCGCGCAGCCCTGCGAGACTCCTCCCCTCGGGGCTGCCCCATCCCGTCCTATCCCTCCCCCCCCCTTCGCTGCAGCTCCGGCCCAAGCCGCCTCGCTCAGCCGAGCCTCACTCGCCCCGTCCGCCAGAACACCGCCCCCAGCGCGGCCCCGCACCCCCACCCCCCCAGCCTTGCCCCCATGGCCCGCCCCGCGCCACCCCTCGCCCTCGCGCGCCGCGCCGCTGCCCCGAGGGCGCGCCGCGGCCCCCGCGTGGCGCGCGCCGCGTGGGCGGCGTGCGCGGCTGTGGCTGCCGCCGCGGCCCTGCCGCGGGCGGCCGGCGCTCGGGCCGTGCGCGGCACCCGCGGCGCGGTGCCGGGAGGCGAGCCGCCGCTGCAGGCCTCCGGCTGGCTGGGGGCGGAGGGTTGTCAAGGGGCCCAAGGACACACAAATAGACACACACACACAAATAACAGGATTCCCCATATTTTCCCAGATTTCCTGGGTTTTTGTCTTCCCCCCTTCCCATATGTTCCCATATTTTCTCGGGAATCGACGATGAACTGTGTCTGTGCGTTTCTTCCCCTCCTGAGGTTGGCGCGCCCTGACCGCCCGCGGCGCCGCGGCCCCCGTCCCCGAGGCTCGAGCGGCGTCGGGCGGCCCGGTCGCATCGGTGCCCGCGGCGCCTGGAGAAGAGGCTGCCAGGGGCAGATCAGCGGCACCGCGACGGGTGCTCGCCAACGGAAGCACTTCCTGGAGATGTGCCACAGAAGCCGTCCTTTTGGGGGGGCCTCGTTCTGGCACTGCAGCGTGGCCCACATCGGGGAGGGTTGGGTTCGCCGGGTCGCTGGCCAAAGTGCCCGTCGGTAGAGTCCCCGTTCGAGGTGCGCCGATCAGAGAAGCTTTCGGAACTCCGCGCGAACATCTCCTCCTCCTCCTCCTCCTCCTCCTCCTCCTCCTCCTCCTCCTCCTCCTCCTCCTCCTCCAGGAAGCTGATACCGCTGCCCTTCCCTCGTCGCCGCGGCTGGATGCGCCTCGAGCTACTGGTCGTATAAAAGTGCCGCTGCCCGTGTGCCTCCCCGGGGTCGGCGTGTTGGGCCCCCCATTTCTCCTGGCGCGCGCCTGGGGGTGGGGGCCAGCGCCGGTCCAAGGAGTCCGTGCCGACCCCCGAAAGGTTTTCTCGTACTCTCGGGCCGGACGAAAGGGGGGGATTGGGAAAGGGGGGGTTACGAAATCTGCTGCATGCAGCTGGTTTCGGCCCCACCGAGGGGCCCATTCCTCTATGCATGGGCGCCTCCGGCGCCGGGAGGCGCCGGGAAAATCAGCCACGTGAGCTGATTCTCACCCCCCCCCCTTTGCTAGCCCCCCCTGTCGCCCGGCCCGAGACTCGCACAGACTGCCTGCCCTGCCAGAGGTGTCCGCCGACGAGAGGCCGCCGCTCCGGCTGAGCTTCGACGTCGAGGCCAGCCTGGCCCTGCGGTCGCCGCCCGAGGCGGCCGCGGTGCTCGAGCTCGCGCGCGTGGTCTCCCAGCGCCGCCCCCTGGTGGTCGCGCGGGACGAGCCTCCCGCGCCGGGCCGCAGCGGCGGGTTCGGCACCGTGGAAGACCTGCGGAGGATCGGGTGAGGCAGCGGTGCTCGGGCGGGTGGTAATGGTTCGGCGGCGAGCGAGGGGGCGAAGCGAGGAGGAGGAGGCCTTCCCAGAAGGCGGCGGGGCTTCTCAGAAGCCCTCCAGCCTTCTTCGAGGTTTGCTGCGTCTTCGGGGAAGGCTCAGACAATTTGTCAGACGGGCGGGGGACGTCGAGCTTTCTGAGAAGGCCCGCCCCCTCTCACCTGAACCCAGGGCGCGCCGCCAAACGGGGGGGGAACTAAATGGCCGGGTGAAGGGTGCCCTGACGGGGCCCTTTCGGTCCTGTTGGGAACAAGCAAAGGCCTAAAGGTGGCCCTGAAGGGCCCATGAAGAGCCCTGTTCTTCACTCCATATTCACATCACCCCCACCACCACCCGCCCGAGATGCATGAGCAGAAGTTGTCGGAGGTCCGCGCGGATGTCTCGGATCTCCGCTAAGACGCCGCGCCTGTCGCGCCCCGCGTGCCAGGGGGGTGGTCCAGAGCCGATGGAAGAAGCCCACGCGGACTTTCGAAGGTTTATGTTTGCGCAGCGTTCCATCTGAAGGAGCATCATCACTCAAGTCTTCCCTTTCTTCAACGAGTCCGTCTGCTTCCACTTCGACGCGCCAGGCATTCCCGGCCTGCTGGACGAGCTGGGGGACGATGGGGTCGGCAAAGAGGGGGGTGATGACAAGGGGGGGGATATCATGGCGTGGGCCATGATATCTCCCCAGATTTCACGGCGCCTCTTCTTATTTCATTACGTTCCCAGCCCCCCCCCCCTGGGCCACGCACATGCATGCCGCCGGTCATGATTCGCACCCCCCCTCTTGGACGCCCCCCTCTGGCCGCCCCCAAGGACGAGTTCGCCGACGAGGCCCTGACCTCCGCCGCCGGGAGGGCCCTGGGCGTCCCCCTGGACATGTACGAGCGGGCCGACCGATTCGCCGGCTGGAGGGCGGTCCCCGGGGGCAGGTGCTGCTGAGCCTGGTTTCCACCACCACCACCACCATGAGTTGGAGGGGGGAAGGAGGAGGAGGGCGAGGAGGAGAAGGAAGAGGAGGAGGAGGAGGAGGAGGAGGAGGAGGAGGGCGAGGAGGAGGAGGACCCCCCCCTCCAACTAATGGTGGTGGTCACCACCACCACAAGCCTGTTTTTCCACCACCAGGTGGTGGTGGAAAACACGCCCATCAGGTGCGGCGCCTGGGAGGTCCAGGATCAGGCCTCCATGCCGGCGTCTGGTCTGGCCGGGGACGGCCCCGCGGACGAGCAGCGAGCTGCGCTCCAGCGAGCGATGGCCCTGGCTCGGGCTCCTCCGCGGTGGCCGGCCGCGGGCAAGAGTGCCTTCAGCCAGGAGGAGGACCCCGGCGTCTTCTACTTCGAGGTCAACGCCTCCTTCTGCGTGGACCCGACCGGGCGGCTGCTGGCGGTGAACACGTCCTCCCTGGTGGAGCTCAAGAAGAACGGGACCGACACGAGGGTTGCGGCCACCAAGCAGGCCTCAGGGGCAACGATAGGAGGGCACTGTCCCAGGCATCGCCGATTCAGGGCCAACGCCCCCCCCATCTGAGCCAGCTCACCTCCCTGTATGTATATCACGTTCCCACGAGGCCGTCCTCAAGCACTCTCACGACCCCCAGTCTGGAGCCAGGCTGCTCCACCCGGAGCGGCGGGCATCCGGCGGCCGGTGCGCCAACCTCACTGGCGGGGCGGCCAACGCCACGCAGCTGGTGAACGAGGAGGATCGGACGGGGCTAGGACGAGGTCAATCCGCTCCAGAGCGTGATAACACTCTGGAAAGGTCGAGGCACCCGAGACGTCCTCCAGAGCCGCTGGGTCTCAGAGATTCGACGTGTCCCCGCTTGATTTTACCCTCGTCCTGGCTTCGTCTGAGAGGAGCGCCTCGCCCGCATCAACCGCGAGGCCGGGGGCGGCTGGGTGGCCGCGCCCTATGGCCACTGGCGGGGGCTCTCTCTGGCCGACCTGTCGTCGACGCTCGGGGCTACCATGGAGCCCCTGAGGCTGCCGCCGAGGCCCGCGGCGGGCAGCTGCGCGCCGGGCGGGGGGGGCGACTGCAGCTTCAGGGCGGGCGCGGGGCCGCTGCCGGAGGCCTTCGACGCGCGCGAGCGCTGGAGCGAGTGCCCGTCGATCCGGGCCATCCGCAACCAGGGGAAGTGCGGCTCCCAGGGCGGAGGAAGGGAAGCCCCGAGAGGGCCGCAGTAGAGAGCCGCAGGGGGCGGGGGTGTGTGGGAGCTGGTGATGCCCCGCAAGCTTCAGGAGGGAAAAAACACAGAGACACAATGAATCGTCGACTCCCAGGAAAATCTGGGGAAATATGAGAAGTGGGGGGGGAGATGGGAAAATATGGGGAATCCTGTTATTTGTGTGTATTTATTTGTGTGTCCCAGTGCTCCTTCAAAGATGGTCCCAAGAGGCTCCCCCCGAGGCACCCCCAAGAGCCCCCAGGAGGCCTCCAAGAGGGAGGGGTCGGGAAAGAGGGGGGGGATGCGGGATCTGCTGCATGCAGCCGGTGCCGGCCTTGCCGCCGCGCGCTTTGATGACCTGGATGCTTGAGCGCCTCTGGCGCCAGGCCCCCTCTGCTAGCCTGTCGGGCATGTCCCTCTACAGGAGGAAAATATCCAAAAATCGTATTTAAAAAGTCGTCCGGGGACGAGGTTTCAATTATTTCGTGCAACTCTTGGAGTATGTTCGACTGCGTTTCATTTCTCTTCCAGAATCCACCTGTAGGAGCATATGCCCGACCTGACACTCATCCCCCCCTTTTTCTTCTGCGAGCCGAGGCTCCTGCTGGGCGTTCTCCGCCGCCACCGTGCTCGCAGACCGCTTCTGCGTGGCCTCGCGCGGGAGCGGCGGCACGGCGTCCGAGCGCCGCCTCCTGAGCAACTTGGTCCTCTCCCCGCAGTACATGATCGACTGCGACGGCGTGGACGCGGGCTGCGGGGGCGGGCACCTGGACGACGCCTGGGAGTTCCTGCGCACGACAGGCGCGTCCCAGGAGCAGTGCGACCCGTACGCCTTCTGCCTGAACGAGACCGATGCGCTCTGCGGGATGGGCAGGGGGAACGCCACGGGCATGGTGTCGGCGTCCTCTGGCAAGGACCGCTGCGGCGCGCAGTGCGTCGGCGGGCACCCGCGGCGCACCTTCCGTGCCTTGTCGGCGTATGCGGTGAGCGCGCCGGGCGACGCTCCGTCCATGCAGATGGACATCCTGCAGCACGGGCCGATCCAGGTCGGGTTCTTCGTCTTCTCGGACTGGATGAGCTACAAGAGCGGCACGTACTTCCGGACGGCGAGCGCCTTCGGGCCCATGGGGGCGCACGCCGTCCGGATCATCGGCTGGGGCATCGACGGCCGCTCGACGCCCTTCTGGCTCGTGGCGAACTCCTACGGCGAGGGCTGGGGCCAGGCGTGGGTCGGACGAACGGGGGGATCTCGAGAATTCTGCTGCATGCGGCTGGTCTCGGCCCCGCCGCCTGGCGCAGTCCTCGGTGCATCGGGCGCTTCCGGCGCCAGGAGGCGCCTGGGAACCCAGCTGCGCGAGCTGATTCGTTATCCGCCTCAGTCTTAAGTCGGGCATGTCTGAGAGGACATGCCCGACCCCGACCTGACCCCAGTCCGAGGGTCAGCATCGTCGAATCGATCCATATCCCCACTGGGCCGCGGTATATCAGCCCCAACAGCCCACCCTTGCAGAGCATTGGGAGATATGTTCCGCGAAACCCGAATGGAACAGCATCTATCCCCACCTTGGGGGGTAAAGTCGGCGACTGGGGCCAAAAGGCCAGGCCAGTGAGGATGCGGATCGGTTAGACGACAGGTTGGGGGGGGAAGGAGAGAGTGTACGAAACTGCTGCGTGCAGCTGCTTTCGGCGACACCGCCAGGCGCTTGCGTCGCTGGCTCCGGCGAACGCCCGAGAAGCCAGCTGCGTGAGCTGATGCGGTAGGGGGAAACAGATAGTGGACACTCCCACGCTCCCCCAAACTCGAAGTTGGCACGCGCGGGGGAGGGACTGCGGCCGAAGTGGAACTCGTGAGACCCACCGCCAACGCTGAGCATGTTGGGGGGGAGGGGGGAGGCGTTGACCGATGAATGTGGCGTGCGTGTTCGCTATTTTTTCCGAGGCCCGTATTATTGAGGATGGAAAAAAAAACACAGACACAATGAATCGTCGACTCCCAGGACAAATATAGGAAAGCATGGGAAGCGGGGGGGAAGACAGAAACCGAGAAAATGCAGGAAAATATTAGGGGATCCTGGGATTTGTGTCTGTTTCTTTGTGTGTGCCCCAGGGCCCCTTCAATCGGGGCCGGTATGCTGCCCTTCCGCCCGACCCGAGATCAGGGGCATAAAAAACGCCCCTACCCTGGTTTACGAGGCGCTGTGCGCTGAAACTCCTGTGGGCTGACAGGGTGAACCCTGCGGGATGTGTCGCGTCCTGGCGGCTCTAGGCTTTGGGGTTTCCCAGGAGGTTTACAGACCGCGCACTTGTAACCCAGGGTAGGGTCGTTTTTCCATCCCTCAACCGAGAAAATGCGGGAAAGTATCGGGGAATTCTGTGATTTGTGTCTATTTGTATGTGTCTATTTGTGTGTGTGACCCAGGGCCCCTTCAATCGGGGCCTGTATGCTTCCGCGGGCGAAGAACGGTATAAACTAAACTTTTTCGCTGTCGCGGGCGCCTGTCCCTGGGCGGCTGGAAAGTTTAGACCCCTACGGTGCCACCGTAAGGGTATAAATTCTCCAGCCGCCCAGGGACAGGCGCCCCCGACAGCGAAAAAGTTTATCTTATATCGTTCCTCGCCCGTTAAATGCTGCCCTCCCGCCCGACCCGAGAGGCCGGCCTCTTACATTTTTTGAAGGCAGATCTGCCTTCAAAAAACCGTTCTTACATTTTTTGAAGGCAGATCTGCCTTCAAAAAACCGTTCTTACAGATCTGCCTTCAAAAAACCGTTGTTACAGAGTAGATCAGCCCTCCCGCCCGACACGAGAGGCCGGCCTCTTCCGCATCCGCCGCGGCAGCAACGAGTGCGGCATCGAGACCACGCCCGCCGCGGGCCTGCCCGAGCTGCCGGGGCGCTCGGAGGCCGCGGCCCCCGCGGGCGCGGGCGGCGGCGGGGAGGAGCGCGGCGCGCCCTCCGGCCGCCCGTGAGCGGCGGGCGCGGCGGAGGGCTCTCCTCCTCCTCATCCTCCTCTTCTTCTTATTTTTTAGTGTTATTTTTATTATCACTATTATTATTATTATTATTACGATTATTATTATTATCATTATCAGTATTATTATTACTACTACTACTACTACTACTACTACTACTACTACTACTACTACTACTACTACTACTACTACTACTCTTTTATTCGTTTTAGTATACTAAGTATTACTCTTATTATTATTACTATTATTCCTCTTCTTCTTCTTCTTCCTCCTCCTCCTCCTCCGCCTCCTCCTCCGCCTCCTCCGCCTCCTCCTCCACCTCCTCCTCCTCCTGGTGGCCAGACGGGGGGTTACGAAATGTGCTGCATGCAGCTGGTTTGGGCCCCACCGAGGGGCCCACTCCTCGATACATGGCCGCCTCCGGCACCGGGAGGCGCCGGGAAAATCAGCTACGTGAGCCGATTCTGAGACCCCCCCTTCGCTACCCCCCCCTTTCGCCCGACCCGAACGGGGGAGGGGGGAGGCGCAAGTAGGGGAAGGAACAACGACATAAACATGATAACTCGGAGGTCCGCGCGGATTTCTCGGCTCGGCGTTTGGGGGGCCCCTGGCGGCGCCTCCGGCGCCGCCCCTGGCGCGCTCAGCGTGCCAGGGAGGGTGGTCCAGCGCGGATCCAAGAAATCCGCGCGGACTTCCGAGTTTTTATGTTTATGCGATTTTTCGTTCCCCTCGCAAGGATTTGGAGGTGCATCCACTGCTCATTCTTCCTGCTCCTCCTCCTCCTGCGCCTCCTCCCCCCCCTCCTCCTCCTCCTCCTCCTCCTCCTCCTCCTCCCTCCTCCTCCTCCTCCTCCACTTCCCTCCTCCTCCCTCCTCCCAGGTTTTTTAGACTGGAGGCGCACAGGGATCGAGAAGGAGGGGGTGAGAGGCTGCAGGCTGGAGGGGGCAGAGGTTGGAGGGGGAAGAAGAGCGCGGTTTTGGAGGACCGGATTTTGACCGCCAATGAGCCATTCATAGCCCATCGGGTCTTGACTCATGGCCCACACCGTCCAGGAACGCATGGTTTCGCCATCAGGAACCCCTCGTCGGTCAAAAAAGGCGATGCATGATTCCAGCGCTCGATGCTTCCTTCCCCCCCCGGGGAGGGTTGGCCACGCGCAGAGAGGCGTAGGGGGAGGGGGGAAGGCTTCTCAGAAGGAGGCTGCTTCTTAGGAGGCGTGGACCCTGTCTATATACATGTGTATATATATATATATACATATAAGACTGCAGCGGCGCTTCGCGCCATGCACCTTGGTCCTTGAAATTTGGTATGCAGGCGGAATAGCAGGAAGGTCAAGCCGACAATTTAGCGATAAGTCTTGGTTGCCTTTTCCGGCATCGCCGCTATAATAATGTTTGTCGTTATCCTTAATCCATGCTTCTTTTTCTTTATTTTCGCCATACCCTACGCATTCTCCCCATCCTCCTCAGCTGTTTTTTTGCGGAGGCTCCTCCTTGGAGAGCATCTAGGGGCCCCACAAAAGTTGTTTCCGGCTTTCTTAAGGCCTTCTGGAGGCCTCCTGGGCGTATTCTGAGGGCCTCCGGGGGCTTCCTCGGGCCACCCTGCCTCCAACCGCGGTCTCCCTGAACGACCGAATCACGATGTTGAATTCTTCGGAGGGTGTCTTTGGGCCATCTTGGGCCGCCATGGGGCTCTCTGAGGGCCATCTTGGACCCGTGCTGTGCCGTTTGGGGGCTCTCTTGGACTGCCTGGAAGCCCTTTCGGATGGTTGTGGGGCGATTTGGGGGCCTCCCAGGCGGCTTCGGACGCCCAGAAGACCGCCGTCTTGGAGCGTCGGGAAGCCGAAAAAAGGAGAACCCTAAAATTCACCAAAAACCCACAGAAATTCAATGAAATTTGCCTCGGGGGGCCTTCTTGGGAGTGCTCTTGGAGGCCTCTTTTTTGGGGCCGTCCTGGAGGCCTCTTGGGCCATCTTGAGGTCACGTCGGTCACTCTTGGAGCGCTCTTGTTCTGTCTTGCGGGTCTCTGGGACGTCTCTGATGACCCCCCTGATCGCCCTAAGTGTGCTGGGAAGGCTTGGCAGAACGCCCTGTGAGGCCCGGTGGCCGCTTCGAGGCCCGTCCGGACGGCCCCAAAGCCCCAGATCCCGGGAGTCCGGTTTTGGGGGGGGGGGGGGGACGGGTTTTCCCCCCGCCCGGGCTTCTAAAGATATAGGAAGAGGAATATGTGCAGGACCAGCGCCGTTGAAGGAGCAGCCTCCTTCTGAGAAGCCTTCCCCTTGTGCGCGCCGCCAACTCCAGGGGGGTGATCGAAGAGCAAAACATAAAAAAAAAACATGAGCCTGTCGGAGGCCTGCGCGGATTTTTCCGGTCGGCGCTGTACCCCCAGGTCCCCGAGGCGGCGCCGCTCGCCGGTTGGGGGGGGGAGGGGCGGGCCCAGCGGCGCTGGCCCAGGAGATCCGCGTGAACCTCAGAGGTGTTCATGCTCACGTCGTTGTGTATTGCTCATGGGGTATAGGAGGAGGAGAAGGAGGAGGAGGAGGGGGAGGGGGAGGGGGAGGAGGAAGATTGTCTCGGCTGTCGTTTAAGGCACGGATAATGTTTTACCGCTTCGTGCCCTAAAAATGGTGGCATGATGTGTTCAATTCCAATTCCAATTCAATCATGAGAAGGTACTGAACGATCTGCAACATAAATCATGTTGCCTTGCGTGGTGCAAACTGTTTGACATGCAATGCTAAGTCAAGTGGGAAGTAATCTGGAATGCATGAGTAAGGTTCCCCCCACGGCTGTGAAGCAGGATGGTTTACTGGCCTCTTCCGGAGGAGGGCCGCCCCGCGATTGTGAAGCACAGTTAGCTGCCCCGTGCCAATCCTCGTACTCCCATGAATGCAACACCTATTAAGATGCGCCTACTACCACGCCTATGCTTTGCAACACTCGCGCCAATACCCTCCACTGCACGGCCTATGGCCACCCATGGCCTGCACGCGGGCCCTTTGTACGGTGGTTGCTAAGCCCCCCACCCCCATGCCTGATACGGCCACCTATGGCCCGCGTGCTACTGCACAAACTCCAGGCCTGTTACGGCCTACTATGGTATGCGAACTATCAACATGTCAAAGCATGAACCTACCTGACTACTCCTCCACGACGTGGCTGGGGGACGGGGCCAGAAGGAGGAGGCGGTGGAGGAATAGGAGGATTGTCTCGGCTGTCGTTTAAGGCACGGGTAATGTTTTTCACACTTGTTCCTCCCTCGGTCCCGGGTTCGCTCGGTCGCTGCTTCGGGCCAGGCAGCAGCAGGGGGGCTGACGGCAAGCACGTGCCGCCGTATTGGGCGGTCCAGAAGTTGGGCGTTGATGGCGCGACGAACCAATCACATGGCCCTTGTCCAACCAGCCCCGCTCCGCCAGTAGAAAGGAAATAATGTTTACGATTCTAACAAATTCACGCCGAATTCAGGGACACAATCTGCAGCCAAGGTGTCTCGCCAAAATGGCGCAATAGCGGATTTGCTCGAGCTCGCGCTTGTCTGAGCCATCTGCGTCGAGCGGCGTTGATTGAGTTGAAGGGAGGGCTGGCAGGTAGAGGAACTTCATGGAAGGGCGAAGGGGAGGAGGAGGGAACCGAGCAGTTACGGAACACTCTCCACAAGAATTCCCGCACCCCCAAGGAGGAGGAGGAGGAGGATCATATAGATCAGATCAAATAAGACGCCTATCGAGGCATGTACCCACTTCGTGAACACAAGCACCAGCTTCACAGCCGCAGGTTTCGGACCTCCTGTTCGCCTTGTGTTTCCAGGAGATGAGAACCCCAGACAACACTATTGATGAATGCTCACTCTTGGAACCTAGGAGGCGGTGGAAGAGCAGGAGGAGCAGGAGCAGGAGTGACGGACCTGCCCTCTCTTTGGGTGCGATTGCCTTCCCTCCTCCCTCCTCCTCCTCCTCCTCCTCCTCCTCCTCCCCCTCCTCCCTCCTCCTCCTCCTCCTCCTCCTCCTCCTCCTTCTCCTCCTCCTCCTCCTCCTCCTCCTCCTCCTGCTCCTCCTCCTCTCCTCCTCCTCCTCCTCCTCCTCCTCCTCCTCCTCCTCCTGTTCTTCTGCCCTCCTCCCGGCCGCGTGCGCGGAGCCTCGCCAATTACTGCACGCTCGCACGCCGAGCGGCTGCCGCCTGGGCCTCAGCGTCAGGCCAGGCGCTCCGCTCGGGCGCCCCACGCTGGCGCTCCTAATTGCTCGAGGCTCGGCCTCGCGTTCTCGCGTGGATCCGGGGGTCGCCTCTGCTGCCCAGGGCACTCGTCGTAGCAAGTCTCAAAACAAACAAGTAGCCCCCTCCCCATTCGAAAAGCAAGACTCTGCGTGCAAATACACTGGAAACCCATGCCAAGAAACACGCTGCTTGCCTCCAGGGTGCCCTGGGTTTCTTGGGGTTCGATGGTTTTGCTACGGGGAGCGTGACGCTCCCACACCAAAAGTCAAGAGACGCCCTGGGGCCTCAGGGTTGGGTTTCTTGTGGGCGGCTCCTTGTGGTCGAGCTCCTGCCGTGAGCATGGGAACTTGAAGCCGTCCGCGTAGATCTCCTGGGTCGGCGCTGGGCCACCCCGTGGTGCGCTCCGCCACGCCGCGGGGGAGGGGGGGGCCCAGCGCCGGCCCCAGCGATCCTCGCGGACCTCCGAGCGTTTACTGTGGGTTCGCGTCGTGTCGTCCGGCGGCGACCCCGCCGCCAGCGTGCAACGTTGAACGCCGCCAGCGACCCAGAATCGGTCGGCATTGAACGATCTGACGTTTCCGAAACGGCCGATCGTTGGAACGACCCCGGCGGTGTCCGAAACCAGCGCCGAAGTGGGCACGACACGATCTTGCCGTAAGTGTAAGTATGCAGGTTTTTGTGCCTAATGCTCCTTGGTTGGTTGCCTCGCTCCCTCGTGCTCCTCATATTTGCCATTTCCTCCCCCGTCCGCCCTTTGAT